GCAGATCAGGTCTGAGCAACCAGCTGCTAGTGATGACCCTGGACTTGGTGTGAATCCAGTTTACCTGAGTTTGCCCAAGCTTGCTTAAAATTGTGACTGCCACCACTTCCTCTTGGCGGAGAGGAGAGGCGCATTCTCCGCCCACAGCTCTACATCACAAGGGCAGGGAATTCTCCCATCACAACCATTGGGACGGGGGGTGAGGAGTGACGGTCACAGTTTTGAGCAGCCTTGGGCAAACTAAGGCAAACTGGATTTGCGCCAAGTCTAGGCTTATCTCTACCAGGTGCACTGTTAATTAGTAAATCTTAATAATCCACTGTGTACCTGCACACCACCATTTTGGCATACATTAGTGACTTGATAGGAGTGTACAATACTACATTATCACCTCCCACTTACAATGATTCATATTTTCCTTTTTTCCCCGTACAATAACTTCAAACTGTAGCTATTAGGTCACTTCACTTTAATGTCATTTTTTTTAAAAAGTTTCTACAACATGCTTGTAGTTTTACCTATAAGAGCAAGCATTTAAATACGGTACCACTTAGCCTCGTTGTAAATACCAGTTTTCTGTATACATAAAAAAATATTTATTTGGCTTGTAAAACTGCTGACTGTTAGCTTAATAAAACAACTCACTGTAAATGATTTTGTTTCCCTTTAAGCTATTATTGAAAGTTCCCATTTTTAATAGCGCTAAACGTTTTGCTGACTCTGTCTGCCTTGCAGTAGTATTCATAGTGCACATTTGCTAGTAATTACAGAGCTAATTCTCTATATGGAGTGAACTTTGATGACTTAATATAATTATATATTTTGTGCAGTAATTATTTTAAATAGAAATAATATGGTTGAGTGATGGTGAGCAGCAATGGCAGTAATGAAAAAGAATGGTTTACTCTTGATATTTGTACAGATTTTCTTTTTGTGGGACACACAGGGAGCAGAAACGCTGTCCCACTTCAATACGGTGTGGTGCCACTCATAATATTGTGTGTTGCATTCTCAAAAAAGGGTCAGGCTGTGATGGGGTGTGATGGCAGCCCATTCAAAATAAATGGCTGCAGCAATGCATGTTAATGCATGATGTAACAGTCGTTACAACGTGTATCTCTTAATGCACCACAAGCGTTCTAACCTGGCCTTAAAGTTTATTTGTATAACAAAAATAATATATGTGCTCACAGATGACCCCCGACCCTTTCCCTTTAAAACTTGTGCGGTACAATTGCGACATTCCCACACAGGTTTTTGGTGTGAGTGTCATTGAGTCCTAATGCAGAGCATAAATAAAAAGCTGAAGAGTTTTTCCACTCTGTGAGTGACAGTAAATCAGGATTAATCTCGGTCTTCTTTATTAGATAAACAATAATGAGGGTTCTAATCACCCAGCTCCTCAACGATAACTACATGAAGACAGGAATGTGAAGACCGAGAAGAGTGCTGCATTTCATTTCTTCAGGAGAATTGCACATAAAAGGAGAGCATTAAAAATGATCCTTGGGGGCAATTTAACTTTATTATAGTTATTCCCAGCTGAAGACACTGGGGTTATCAGCGGATCCTGAGCACAGCTGTGAACTGTTAACCCTGTGCTTTCAATATGGAGCACACTGATAAAGCACATTACAGAGCAATGGAGCAGCACTGTGCAGTCTAAAAAAAAAATACAAATGTAAATGGTTGCCTCTACAAACTAGATTCTATTTTCTCATAGTATATACAAAAATTAAAACCCTTCGACCTCTGCAACAAGAGCCTTGCACCAATGTGATGCAAGTAGGGTTGCCACCCGTACAGTACGGGTTTCGGATCCTGTGTACGGGTGGGAGGCGGGCTCCCACCCGTACACAGGATTCAAACGGCAGACTTGCTCACCTGGCGGCGGGCGGTGAGCGCCGGGCAGCGAGCGGTGAGCGGCGGGCAGTGAGCGCCGGGCAGAACAAAATATGTGCATAGTGTACTTTACCAAAAAATTGCCGTGAGGCGCTACAGTGTTCGGGTTTGGCTTGAAGAAAAGGTGGCAACCCTAGATGCAAGTGTGAGAATCTGACTACCAGCCTTATGTCCCAATCACAGACATAAACACACATGTGCCAATTTGGGAAGAACACCGTTAAAAGAAACCTGTACTGAGTGAAATAGGTACAATGCTTATGCTTACATCCAACAAATGTTAGCTGCCTGGCTGCCTCTCACCTCAATACTGACCTGGAGGAAGCATGCAGCAGGCAAAGTCAGGACTCCCTATCTACACACTTATGAAAGGGAGCATAGCCAGGGCCGGCGTGTGCGTGGCGTGAGGCACAATTTTCTGTTCTTGCCTTAGGCGCAAAAGGAGCTAGCTACGGCTCTGACTGGATCAGCATGGCAACTAGCATTTTCAGGTGGAGAGGTTGGCATTTGGCACCCCGACACACGTCACACAGAACATGGTTCCTTTACCCTAGTGGTAGGTTTTTGAGCTATAGAAGGACATAGGATCACTTGGAGGAAACTGATAAGGATGGACAGATGAAGAATATACAGATTCTATACGGGTAGAGTCACTAGTGGGAACTGCGCCCAGGTATCCAGCACTGCAATACAAGAGAGCTAAGCATATAAGGTAACCATATACATGGAGTAACTATCACCAGGACATTTGTGGTAGAACAAAGTCACTAATGTATTGAGTCTCGGAAATAAATCTCCTTTCTGAATAACAATTGGTATCCAAGGACATATTTACATCTTGGAAGCCTAAAGGTACAGATAATCCTGCACTCTAAGCACGACCCATAAGTAGTCCCTCAAGACATGCCCCATTGCAGGGCATACAACATTTTTTTTCCATTACATAGTTTGCAGAAAAAAGACTGAGATGGGAATTTTGCTAAAGGTGCCTACACACCTTGCGATAATCGTACGAATATCGCAAGGTGTGTGGAAGGCGTGCATCCGTTTCTACTTTTGTCTTTCGAGCATGTTCGAAAACCAGCCGAATCGTACGATTTCCGGCTGGTTTGTAGCATGATCGTGAGATAACTGCCGCACGGGCCGGTGTGCGCAAGCGCACACTGCCCGTTCAGCATTACGGTCATCGGAAGCCTGCCCCACTTGCGATTATCACAAGTACGATCTGCCTGTCCAAGATGGGCAGATCGTATGTTTTTTTAATTACCTTACAAACATCGCAAGACAAAAGTCTTGTGATGGTTGTAAGGTGTGTGGCCAGCTTAAGACTGGAGCAGATAGAATCTGAAGCTGCTCCAGATTCTGTCTACTCCAGTTTTAAACTCCCCCCCCCTAAAAAAAATATAAAAATATTTGAATATAAAAATGAGGTTCCCCCCATAGTGTCAATATTGTCCGTTTGTTGCCTGCGGATTGTCATAATTGCCCAACTGTGGCCCATATGTTGTCAACAATTTTTGCCCTTTTTTCAGCACTGTTTGTTCAGGGGACCAAATTACTTTAATGGAGGTCAGCTGCAATCAAACCATGCCTTCTGCCAAAAGCCAACACTGTCTGCAAATGTTAGTCACATAAAGGTAAAATCAAATATATAATAACAACTAAGCATTAAACTACATTTATTATATATACATATAGGATTCATCTATGAAATGTTTTTCTTATGAGATGAAAAAGTGAACTCTAATGACCTGCAGTGTTTGACAAAACCATACTGGGGAAAACAAGGTTCCCGCACTTCAATAACTCCATCATTGCCTACAAGAGCTTTTGTAACATGGAAACAGAACTGGAAATAGCAGATTTTGATGAACCATCTTCAGCATTAACAAGATGTCAATCAATAGACTCAATAAAATGCATTTGGCCTCCCAGTGATTGGATCAGGGTAACCAATCCTTAATACTAAGGAAGCCGCAGGCACTCTTGAGACTAGTCAGCTACAAGAGGCTTTTACACTCTATAAGGGACATCACATTAAAAGAGGAGATGCATCTTGAAATGTTTTGTAACCTACATGATAAAGTTAATTTAGATGGTGCCCATAAAAAGAAGCAATTACAGTGATGTAGGCAGGAAGGGAAACTGAAAATAGTACATATTGAATATAAAGATACCTAGCTCCTTAGACATCTGTGTTCTGTGCTGTCCATACCTGGCTTAAAGAGAACCAGTGACGCTTAGGCTATGCAAGAATCTGAATGCATCTTAATTAACATGACTATGAAACTTACTTATAAAATAATTATATTTGCTTTGTCTTGTGCTTGACCACACACATTTGAGTCTTAGTTCCTAAGTGTGCCAAATAGTACAAAATAACACTGTACCAGTATTAAATATAAAAACGTTATACTTTGTTATTTCATACTCTTATGCAATTTGTGAAGCTGGAAGGTGACCAAGAGGTCAAACAGATCCCAGTGGAGCAACTGTCAGACTCAAGCTGGACAAGAGCTTGGTCTCAAGCTGGACCAGAGTTGGAATTAAAACAAAGTAAGTAAACCTAATTGAGTGGCTAAATATAAATTGTAATAAGTAACCCTGCACAATATAATATCTGAATATTTAGATTTCTAAAGAAGACCAAGGTAAACTTGAACATGACAGCCATACCACTAGCATTTTCAGTAATGGCAGCCTCCAGTTTTCTATCACTCCCTTTAAAAAAAATAGGGGGCCTGAAAAGTGCAGTTACCCACCGCTGTTCTTCAAACTGTCCTCATTACTCTGATCTGAGCACATGTGAACTGACTGGTTGCTATAGCTACGGTACATCATTGTTCAATGCCGTGCCTTGTTAAATAAGCCCATAGAGATTCTAACTAGAGGACAGGCCTATCTTTAATTTAGTGACAAAGGTATAGGATCGATTTGATGGAAAAGCCTTCATCAAACACATTCTGAAAAGCATGGTCTCCAGAGGTCACCGTGATGAGCAATGCCAATATGCCAATTTATCTGTATAGCCAGTGAATATGGTATAGAATTTCATAGTCAGGTTAAATTAACAAATCCCAGTTCATCTTATAACATACCTGTGCTGTCTTCATACACAACGGTCACAATCTTCCAGCTGTAGTGTAAGACCAGGTCCAGCACAGCTCGGCTGATGGCAGCATAGTCGGGGTGAAGGTTAATAAAAAATGTGTCCTTGTTGTCCACCGACGGATGTTTCCACCGGGTTTGGATGTGGGGAACTTCCAGAGCATTGCAGATAGACTGGACCGCACTGACGGAGGAACTGTGTGATGGCCCGAACAATGCAGCCACACCAAGAGCCAGCTGGTCGCATGCTAGGGGAAGAAAGAAAGAAAATAATGATTACCTATATCTATTTATGCTGAGATTAACACTACATAGTTAGTGAGGTTAAAAAAGAAGCATGTCCATTGGGATCAACCGATAGTATCTCTGCTGCCTCCTGCTATTACAGAACTTAAGAAAAAGGCAAGCTTTCCATTCATGTCCTGCTTCTCTTATCTCTGCAATGGAAGCAATATATGTATTTGCTGTTTGGCAGGGCCTACTGCTGGGGTGGTGGATGGTGGGTCTGGGCTGTGGGGCAGGGGGCATTCGCCCCCTCACCCAGTGTTAATAAGATATGTTGGGATGGTGCTTCCTACCATAATTTCCAGCAATGTTCCTGTCCATTTAGGGGCTTTGGGTATCCCTGACCATCTTCCCATGCTGCTACTTTCTATATAATAATAATAATTTTAAAAAATCCATCAGTGAGTGTGGGTCACAATAATCACAGTAGGCATTGAGACCTAGAAACTCAGCACTGAGATCTTACCAAGATAGAATCCAAAAGATATAAGAAACCAAAACCCGAAATCAATTTTGAGTGTCCTGATTCTTTACAGTGACACTACACTCAGAAGTTAAATCTTAAAAAAGCCTTTAGGCACCTTTAAGTACCATAGGCGCGTTTTTTTCTGCTCGTTTTTTAGCACGTCTTTTCGTTCAGTGAAACGCGCGTTCGACGCTCGTTTTTATACCTCCCTGGCGGTATGATTTTTAAAAAGTATTTTTCCTTTATTTTCTCTATCTTTTTGGGGGTTTTTAAAAAAAAAATAACTTTAAACTTCCCACCGGTTCCACCCCCCTGCGACGTGGCCTCTTGCAAGGGACGGAACCCGGAAGTTGTCAGCGGCCGGAGGACACAGTGGGGATCGCGGACAAGGTAAGTCCTACGCTGTATTCCAGAGTGTGGCTCGGGGTTACAGCTTTGTTAACCCCGAAACCACACTCGGGAATACCAATGGATACGCGCTGAAAAACGCCCCACGGGTTCCATGGGCTGAAATACGCCCAGGTGGGAACCATGCCCATAGGGATTCATGGCATTTCACTTGCTGAGCCCAGGTGTGAACGCAGCCTAACTGTTAACAAAAATTTATCTTATTTGTCTATTGCTTGTCTGTAGTTCTTCAAATCATCTCTAAACTTGTGCTGACATTGTCCTTGCTTCTGGTGGGTGGCTACTTTGTTCACCATGGTCCCTGTGTGTTGTGTAAAGTAGCCACCGCTCCGGACTTGCTCCCATTATGGACTAAAATAGTTTACTAATTTGTATTGAAAGGATAGTCTATCATGGGAGCAAGCATTTAATACTACTTTAAAAGCTGTTAGGTTTTTCCCATCTCTGTAGCCTTGGGGAGATTTTCCTTCACTTCTTGTCCTGAAAACACAACAGGAAGTTAGAGGGAAATCTCTTGAAGCATACTTTTGATACACTTTAACCTTGTGATTGGGGTTAACTTTAACTTGGATTAAAGTCAAAGACTCATTTATATTTTTCTCTATTTCAAAACCTTCATCAGACATCCAAAGGAAACTTACATTAGTTTATGATCTCCGTGTAGTTCACAGGGGGTAGAAACAGGAATTGGACATCTATTCAGACTGCTGTTACCACAACCTACATACTGCAGTGCAGTGACATTCACTTTAAATGGCACCACAGCAAACTAAACCAATGAATCACCAATGCATCTGTGTTGCAGTCCACTGCAATGCCTTGTTAGGTACTGGGGTCCACTGTGGTGCGCTGCATGCGATAATGCACAATAAAGGACAGGATAGGTCTGAATGGACCTTTACAGTTATATCTGCAAACGAACTGATGAACCTGGATATATGAAATGAGCTAAAGTGTATAGAAATTGCACTTCTTTGGTAAGTTAGACATACCTCTCCGGGAAGCTTCAAAGCTGTCAAACAAGTTGATTCTCTGGATGTCGTAGTTTAATGTAGTGTTGGGCATCAATGTTCGGTTTCTGTTGATATTAGTGACTGCAAACTTGAAAGCTAGTTCTTCCATATTTACCGGCTCATTTTCCTGCGTCTCAAAAATACCTCCTGTAAACCAGAGATAAACCAGCAGTTGTTATTGATGTTCTGGAACTATGCTTAAAATAGTCAAAGTAAGCATGCACCCCAGCTATATACAGTATTTAGTCAGCTAAAAAAAAAACACATGGCTACTACAGAAAGATCCACTTAAATAAATCTTTTCCATTACCAGCTGACCCAGAGAAGTGAAAAGCCATTACAGCATGTCTCATTTGCCCTATAACAATTTTGTTCTTTTCCCAGGAATAAACTTGTACTTTGCCCATGCCAGCATGTTCGTGGCCCAACTGGCTGCAAGTTGTTACCATTTTTTTTTATCTCCCTTGCTGCTCCATTCAGCCATGAATTGGAGCTTATACAGCTTATAACCTCCTTAATACAATGTTGGCAGGGCTAGCATTAGGGGTGGGCAAACTGTGGAATTGTCCAGGAGCCCCACATTTATAGGGGGCCTCCAGGAGCTTCCCCTACCCCCTAAAGCCTCCCCTGTACCTAAAGAGCTGCACCATGTGCAGCTCTAATAGATGATCTGAAGCTTTGGCTCCAGCAGAAGATCAGGACACACAGCACCAGGCTCCGTTCACCTTCCTTTCAACAGGACGAAAGACTAGAAGCTGCAGGACAGGGGTAGCTTCACTGCTTCAAGAAGAACTTCCACCAATTTGTCAAAATTGTATATTACTACTACTATAAATGCTATGATATGGCAAATAAAACAGACATACTTACTATTCCATGCAGTCCATTGAAAACTTACTCACAGCTGAAGTGAAATGGCCCATGCTGCCATTTTGGTTCCGGGTATATATCGGTAGCCCAACTGTTACTTACACACTTTCATACCTAGCCTGCTGATAACATGCCGCTAAATCCTGCAAATGTGCATGCTGAACATAGCAGCTGTCATCTAAGCAAGCTGAAATCTCACAACACTTCAGTTACTGCCTACAGCCTTCTGGGATATGTGACATGGCATATTTTATTCTCGCCTAGGCAAGGAGGAAGTAGGAGGAGCCATACAATTGTAATATCTCCCCAAAAAAAGGTGTAAACTTACTAGGGGGATTTTATCAAGACTGGGGCAGAAGCCGGCCCGAGCTCTTTTAGCATGCACCACTATCGCACAAACCCATCCCACCCTCAGGCGGTGATTATGCTAGGGACACCCCATCTTGTGTGTAATGTGCAGATTGTATGTATGTTTGTATGTACATTTCAGAGCTATGTGCATGTTTGTATGAGTAGTATAGATAATATTTATGCTTGTGTGTAGATAGAAAACAGTGTTAATAGAACTCAAAACTCCTTAGTGTAAAAATGTGATGAAAACTGTGCCAATCCACAAACGACAAATGTTAGCAAAATTGTTTTGAAACTTTCTGCACGAGCGCCAGCCAAGGCATTGGCCTATACACATACAGCACAGCAATGAAGTAATAAAATGAACTAGGATCACACTAATCCAGCACGTTATTAATCTCACGTGCCCCACTCAAGCGGCGGCCATATTGAGTGGGGCACGTGAGATTAATAACGTGCTGGATTAGTGTGATCCTAGTTCATTTTATTACTTCATTGCTGTGCTGTATGTGTATAGGCCAATGTAGTTGGATCTGTATGTGCGTTATAATTAATCAAAATTAATCGATTAATCGATTAAAAAAAATTAGATTAATCGAACACGAAAATTTTAATCATTACCAGCCCTAGTTTTTGTCCTACTGACCACTGATGTTGGGCCATGTTTTACTCCCACTGATCACCATCCTTTCCCCAAACATTGTGACAGTTAGTGAACTGGCCCTTTGTTTAAAATGTATGGGGACCCCTGAATAATAGTTACTATCTTTTCCACGCAATATACTGTATGAAAACAGGAAGCAGAAAATACATGCAAACGATACACAAAGACAGTCCTTTCTAATTTTCTTACACTCTTCTGTAAATAAAAACTTTACTTAATTTTTGTTTCTTCAATCCTCCATTTTCTCCACTGTAGATTCAGGGGTGTAACTACAAATTATGAGGAAAAAATCTTTATGGGGTTCTCCACCAACTTCCCTAATGTCATTGATCCTAACAAAGTTCTCCCACCCCTTCCACCAACACAGCAATCAAGCATTGAAAGATGTGGTCTAGTAGTCAGAGAGAAAAAAAGGAAGAGTAATCGGTTCACTGTGAAGTGGGTCATGTCAGAGGGCCTGCAATAATCCAGTCAAGAGGGCCCCAATTAATCTAAAGCCATCTCTGGGTGTTTGGTTCCTCAGTGGCCAATCACCATACACCAGTTCTGTCATGTGGAAGGAAGTGGAGTAAGTAACATACCCCCATACCTGGAAATACTGAGATTCTGTCTTCACTCGGTAGAGGAGTGAAGGGAAGGTGAGTAGGGGCCACCATTAAAGCTAGTGCGGGGAAAAGCACAGACTTGCTTTTAAGGAAGTAAATATTTCTGATCCCTCTTGGCAATTCAATACATCCCTGTATGTAGTGCTGTATATTTATCAAATCTGTAGGCAATTAAGTGCGTAGCACTCTTTTTTTGCAGAGATGCGATCCTGCACTAAACTTCCACCAGAGACACTATCTGTAGCATCCTGATTAGATTTGGTTGCTTGCCACACTCTGAAAATATGATGATAGGTTATTAGGGTTACACCACACGGCAGTGCAATAACCAATGGATAGTCAATTTTCAGCCACTAGCAGCCTTAAAGCAGGAACCCAGCCAAAAACAGTAAGCATAGGTGAATAGACTATTAATAAGTTATAATAGCAAAACCAGATTTTGCTGCAATATTTAGCTTCAATCCAGAGATCTCCACAGTACTTTTTTTTCTTAATACTAGATGTTCTCAGTATATTTGCAAGCATCATTTAACCCACCTGCTCCAAGCCTAGGTCCTCCTGGATCCACCCCAAAATCAAACAGCGAAAAGAAAACCAGCATAGTGATAAACTCATCTTTCTGCCACTCAGCTTCCTTCATCATACCATTTCTCAGCACATGAACTGATTGGTCCTTTGTACTGCTTCATGTTCTCACTCCAGCCCTGCTGCACAGGGACTGCAACGTCCCTACCAGGTCAAATTCAGGTACTTACACTGCTTGCATTTACAAAATACATTTATGATGTATACAGATTACAGAGCTGCATTCATTTGTGCATTTTAAATCTACCCGAAGCTCATCTTTAAGCAGGCAGACTAATGGAAGCTGAATTCTGATTGGATGCTGTGTGTTGTGTCACACCATTGCCCTTTGGCTTGTTACTAAATACAACCAACATATTACACTTATACCTTGGCTGTCACAGTTTCAATATACAGCAGGTTTTTATTAAAACAGGCACGTCCTTATAGACTGGCCTCTTCTGTCCAGGGCAGACATGTCAGAATCCTCGATGTTGACAGCCAGACAGGATTTCATATTGACCATCCTCTTGAGGCTCTTTTTCTCTAAATTGTTAAAGATTTTCTTACTCCATCTCTCTTGTGTATCAATCAGCGCTGGCTTAGAATATAAATCTGAATATAGCACAAGCCTGAAAAGAAGCAAAACTAAGCTTAATAGACCTCTGTTTTGCTGACGCAGTATATCTGTACATAGGACAACAAGCTGCACTATCCCACGGGGTACACTGAGATCTTGTTTCTTTACTGTCTCAGAATTCAACCTAATTTTAAGAAATATGTTTCCAAATTGCTGAGACTGGCTACGACCTAAGGGGAGAAATGAGGAGAAGGCTTTATAGCAGAAACATGGAATTTAATTGGGTATAGAACGTATGGCAGTTTACGAAAATTCTCTGGAGTGAAACTGTCAGCTCAATATTGCTAATAATTTTTAAAAAGTCCATAAATTGTAAGATTAAAAGGAAGTATTGGGGGTAGATCAATGAAAACCTTATTCACATGCGGCAAAAGAGAGGGATATAATACTTGTTATTTTAAATTGGAGGTGTAGATTCCAGGACACTGTTCAAAGCAAATCAAGACATAACCATAAAAACATAGTTCCAACAGAAAACCCCCTGGTACATGCATTAAAAACCTGCAAATAAAAAAATACATTGTAAAAAACCTTCAAAACAAATTGTGAAATCGCCATAAAATCATCTTATAAAATAAGGTTACATCATATTGCTGTCCTGCAACCTATTTGAAAAGATAAAGCATAAATGGGGCACCGGCACTCCAAATGGTGAATAGTACATCTTTTATTGAAGAAAGCGCAGCATATCACATAAATGCAACATTTCAGGGTCACGCAGGATCCCCTTCATCGGGCAAGACATCTGTATGTAACGACGCCATCCGTTGGACACGGCAGCACCCACCAGTCAGTTCAGGACAAAGCGGTCAGGAGTGCGATGGGTTCGTGGACTTTTTTTGGAAAGAGGATAAAAGCAGGTATCATGACAATTACATGACAATCAGAGAAGATTGGCTATGCCACACACTCAGTAGGGAGGTCCTATGATGGCAATCACTTGGTCAGAAGCCATCAATCTACCAGTATATGTCTGCACAAAATCAGCGTGGCTCAGCATGGCTGCAGAATACCTACCAAACTCCATCCATAGCTAGAGGATTCAAACACAGATCAAGTGCAGCAAGAGGATTCAAACACAAATCAAGTGCAGCAAGGCAATTGTGG